CAAAAAACCTTGTCAGGGCTGTTGAACCCACGGGTGTTCCAGGACGCCATGAGGGGGAACCTGGTCATTGGGATTTTGAGGTGGGGGTGGTGGCCTTTTTGGCCGATTTGGCTCTTGTGGACTTGGCTGTGGAATTGGAAGCTACATTTTGTGTATTAGGTTGGCTATTGCTGGCGGAATTAGATTTTTTGGTGGAGTCAGGTGGTTTATCCGGTTGGTCACGTTGCGTTGAAGAAGAAGAAGGATGGGAGTCTGACTGGGCAGAGGAGGACTCTGGTAAGTGGTTTTGATCAATAAGGGCGTCAAATTTGTTTTTTGTTGGGATAGACGGGGAGGTATGCAGAGTGGGTGAGGGGATAATAATGGTGGTAGGTGAGGGTGGAATGAAGTCCTCAGAAGGCGAATTAAGGTTAGGTAGAAGAGTGGCTATTTCAACAGCCTTAGCGGTAGGAAGGTCTGTTGAAAGAGAGGTAGAAGGTGGAGAAGGTTGGGGCTGAAAGGTAGAAGAACTGGGCGGCTTAGGAATGTTCAGCCTCGGAGGTAACTTCCTGGGTTTGCGGCTGGTGCTTCTGCCACGATTTTGGCTGGTCTCAGTGGACTGAGGAGTAGGGTTTTAGGGCAAGTATTAGGAGAATGCATGATGGAGTTACAGAAGGAGCAATGAGAAGGCTTCCAGTCGTATAACACAGTGAGAGGAAACGTTTTGTCATCCACGGTGTAGTAAATCACATCCGGCAAAGGCGAAGCACTATTCACCTGGACACAAACCCGGGCGAAGGTGAGTCTCGTTTAGGCCGCAGTGAGAGCATCAACCGCGAGCGGGATGCCGATGCAGCTCGCAATCTTGGAGATGCCCTCCGGCGTCCAGCAAGAGAGCGGGAAATTTTTGATTTTGATCCAGAGGGGGATCGATGGAAATTCCTCACGAACAGGGATGAAGTCCGGAGTCCACTTCTGCAAAATGAAGGGCTTTCCGAAAAAAAAACCATGGGCCACCAGACCAAGCCATGTCATAGTCTTTCAGAAAGAAGCCGTCATCTAAGGTAAGCAGAGAGAGGGATCCTTTCAAGTTCCATGCTTTTTTGATTGTGGTAAGCAAGGCTTCATAGTACGAACGTCTACCGATGGAGTAGCCGACCAGGGAGAGGGACCATTCAGGAGCTCCGGCGTTGAACTGAGCGGAAGTGAAATGAGCCGTAGCATACTCAATGGGGAAGTGAGAGATCGAGGAAGTAAAGTCATTTGAGACAAGCGGTTGGGAGGCGATGAGGCTCTTCCAGTCTCTAAGAAGGAGAGTAGAGGAGAAGGAGGGTGGATTGTGCGGAGGATGGGGGATAGATGACATCCCAGGGGAGATCATCCCTGTGGGAAGGGTGGTGGCGGCCGGGAAAACTCAAAGGAAGCCAAACCCTAGCAGAGCTCAGAGATATTTTCGCGCGAGGCAGCCAAGCTTCTCATAAGTACTCTTTCAAGCTATAAAAGACTTATTGAAGCTGAGCATCATAACTATAGTACACCTTAAAGAGTAGTGTACCTTTTAATAATTTCGTATTTGCTTTCCAATATCATTGTTACTTTTTTTATTATGAAAGAAGTAGAAGGCACTTTTTAGTTAATTTGGCTTTCTTAAGTAATAGTACAGGATTTTTTTTTTTTTGGAAAATTTGGGGCCAAAGCCCATATATTTCAAAGAAATAAGGATTACATGAGTAAAGGTGAATATAAGTAAATAAACCTTGCATAAGCAGCGAAAAACAAAACCTTATGCAAAGTCAGAAAAAACCACAACTATACCACCCAATTACAAAGACAAAAACAAAAGAAAAAACTACAGGTCAAAATGATGAACAGGATCTTCATAAAGCTTGAAACAGGATACCGAGAACAGCACGTCCCAGGTCACGAGCATTGAGGTAGCAGATTCGATCGCCTTCCAGCCATCCAGAGAAAGAACCTGTTAAAAGAGAACACCAAAAAACAAAAGCAACTGCAGCAAAAAGTGATCTCCAAAAGGGCTCCAGCATCTATATAACCAGGACTCAGGTAATAAGCATCGAATACCAGCAGACCCTTGGTTGCCCCGAAGGCCCTCCAAGGGGAAGAAAACAGAAACGCCAAAAGGAGCATCATCATCGTCCTGGTTATAACCACCGAACCAGCAGAAGACAGCTGATTCCAAAACACCTCCCCCCAATCAAAAGTTCTCCAGTAATACATTTGAATTTCTCCACCTAGATACTTTCTCAATAATCAGCTTTTTGATATCGTGATGAAGAGAGGAAGAGCTACGAAACTCATTCCCAAATCTCCTGTAATTTCTTTCTCTCCAAAGTTGATAAAGGATGCAGCAAATCATTAAGAAATGAAAATTCATAATGATTTGGGAAGTAGAATATTCAGTCTCCACCCATTGGCACAATTGCAGTATAGTAGGTCCTCTTCTTGCATGTAACTCTTCTATATAGCTTTTTCAATAGATCCTGTACTGTTTCTCTCAGTACATGATCTATTGAAAAAGCTATATAGAAGAGTAACATGCAAGAAGAGGATTAAAGAATATTATATTTTATTTCTTGATTATTGATTGTTCTCTATTTGAGTTTTACCATCTACTTCTCCCACGGATTCACTATATCATTTCTTACAAAGTTTTAGAATTAGTTAGGCAAAAATAGGTAATTAGACGAGCTAAAAATTGAAAAAACTATGAAATTTTTTTTTTTAATTATACATATTACTCGTATAAGATTCTCAATGCTTTTCTAAAAGCATTGTAACTATAAAGAAGATTAATTTGTGCTCACTATATTTTGGGGATAGATATAATTTCCTTCGTTCAAAAAGCTTGGAGAGCAGTTCATTTTAGTCTGCCGGTTACGAGCTTTAGCTATAAACCAAAAGATCTTGGGTTTGAGTCTTATGTATGTGATGAGTTTAGGATAAATTTGACTCTTTTTTTTTAAACCAATAGAGGGCTTAATATCAAAAAAGATTACAAGATCCACCACTCACTAAATGCTCAAAGAGCTACAATCAAAAGCAACAAAATCTAAAAGAGTTATAGATCCCTATCTAATTACAATAAAAGAGCAAAAAGTTAGAGAATATTGGAAGTATTTTTTACGACGAAATTTTTTTTTCTGAAAATTCAAATAAAAATTCTTTTATTTCATTGATATATCATAAAAAAATTATCTTAATTGGTCCTAGAATACTTAGGTACAAGTTACTCCTGCACCCCAAAGAATTGGAACCAATTAGCTTCGAAGCTAAATAACTGATGAGCAAATTCTTCTCCTACCTCTGCACACACCACTTTCTTGTTGGTTCTATTCATGATGAGTTTGATGTGTAAGTTTTCAGTTTCGAGCTCTACATTGCCATCACTTTTAAAATTCCTATTAGGAATTTCTTCAGCAAATTTAAAATCTGAAATGTTACTCGTCCAAATAAGAAATTTTTGTTTTGTGCAAAAAAATATAGATGAGATCAAAAAATTTTGAAAAAAAAAATTCAATGGTTTTTATATAAATTGAGTTGGGAGTTGTGAATTTAAACATCCCCATCATTTTTTTTCGCAAAGACAATCAAAGATGAATAGCCCTATATATAGTTATATATGATAAAGAAATCAAACACAACTGACCAAAAAAATAAAATTTCAAGTACCTCTTCGCTTCCAAATTTCAAGGTTCTCTCCTCCAAGATATATATATCTTTTATGTCAAACTCTTTCAGTATATTATGGTACTGCAATACAGAAGATCGCATGACATGAAAATCATCAGTTATGATGAACTTGGCGTTATTTCTCTTAAGAAATGCTTCGTCATTCTCTGTCGTGAGCCGATCAACATATTCCTGAAAGCCTCTGTCCAGAAGTGTTATTCAGTAAGCTTTTTGATGCTGTAATAGAGTTTTTCAACGGATCCCAAGTTAGTGTTGATTGAGAGTAGATTTATTATGGTACCCATCAGTAGAGTCAAGAAGCTAAAGAGAATGTCGACGAAGCCAGTATTGACTAATCCAAACACCTCTCGTTTCTTCTCATTGTGTACTTTTAGGGGTGTAAACGAGTCGAGTTTTAACACTAACGAGCTCAGTTGGTTAGTCGGAAAGCGAGCTCGAGCTCGAGTTGATCTCAAAAAACATGCTCAAACTTGAGCTCCTCATATTAAAATTGAGTTCGAGCCGCTCGATTCAGTTTTGCATTTTACCGCATGTGCCCTTTTTTTATTTCTCTCGCCTGTGGACATTTTTCCCACCTATTTTTTCAGGTTATCTTCTCAAAAAAAAAAAAAAAAATTCAATGCTGCCGTCAATCCCAACTTCCAAAATATATATATTATTTCAATTAACATATGTATTCATTAACATATATTTTAATATATTATAATACATATTATATATTATTTTAATTAATAAATAATTAACGAGCCAGCTCAAGCTCGAACTCGAGCTCGTTTATTAACAAGCTCGAGTTTGAGCTCAGGCTCGACTTGTGAGTTCGATAAGCTCGGCTGGCGAGCTCATAAAAGAGTCGAGCTCAAGCCAGCTCACGAGTCTGCTCCGCTCACTTACACCCCTATGTACTCGTATGTACCCTATCCTTCAAAGATAGTTTTGTCCATATCAGAGATGAATGCCTCTGTTGCGAGTTCTACTAGGTTGTTTTTGACGTTTTGTAAGTCAGAAAGTGGAATTTGACTAACAATTTGTCCAAAGTTGGAGAGTTCTCCTACATTGATTGAGAGTAGAAAGCGCCTTAGATTTGTTGACAGAGTAGGTCTGGACGTGACTTTCGTCCAAGAACAGGGAACAAGATGAGAACCAGGATAAAGAGGAAAGATAGCTTTTCATTTCATTAACTGATGGTTACAAAGGAGTATATATAGACAAATAAAGTAAAGAAAGTACAGGCTACACTTGTATTACAAAAATGGAATTAAGCTTAAGACAGCCGTGTAACTGTGTAGCTAACAGCCCCCCTCAAACTCATGCTAGGAGGTAGCGGTGAGTTTGCTGGAAAGGATCTGAAATCGGTGAGTTGGTAAAGCTTTGGTGAAGAGATCGGCTAGTTGATCTTCAGTGCATATATGATGAACCGAAATTTTGTCTTTCTTGATACAATCCCGAATGAAATGACAATCAACTTCAATATGTTTTGTGCGGGCGTGAAAGATGGGATTGTGAGCCAATGCGATTGCAGAGGTGTTGTCGCAGAAAACTGTGGTAGGTGCTTGTTGCGGTGTATGGAAATCTTCGAGCAGTTGACGAAGCCAAAGGATCTCAGTGGTCTCGGTGGCTAAGGCCCGGTATTCGGCTTCCGTAGAGGATCGGGCGATCGTGTTTTGTTTCTTTGCTTGCCAAGAAATGATGGATGTTCCTAAGAAATTGCAATACCCGGATATGGATTTTCTATCTTGATTGTTGCTGGCCCAATCGGCGTCGACATAACCGGTGAGGGTGAGGTTGGATCGGTAAAGAGGAATGCCGATGGCGGAGGATCCCTGTATGTAACGAAGTAGACGCTTTAATGCCTCCTGGTGAATGTTGAGCGGGTTCTGCATGTGTTGACATAGCTGTTGAACTGCAAACTGAATGTCCGGTCGGGTGAGTGTGAGATATTGCAATGCTCCGAGAATTTGGCGGTACAGTTGAGGTTGATCGTATGGATCTTGAGACTTTGAGGTGATAGTTGTTTTGCAGGAGATAGGAGTGGCAACCGGCTTTGCTGTGTCCATACCGGCCCGCTGGATGATTGATTTGGCATAAGCTTGTTGATGAAGTATGAAGCCGTTCTCAGTTTTGGTTGTTTGAATGCCCAAAAACTGAGATAGGCTCCCTAGATTCCGCATCTGAAAAGAAGAATGAAGATTAGAAAGTAATTTATGTGTTTCGGTAGGAGAGTTACCTGTGAGTAGGATGTCGTCTACGTAGACGAGCATGTACATGCGGGTGGTACCGGACTGGAACGTGAGTAGCGAAGGGTCGGACGCACTGATATGGAAGCCGTAGTCAGTGAGATGATTTGAGAGGGTTGCGTACCATTCCCGCGGTGATTGTTTCAGCCCGTAGAGTGCTTTCTTGAGCTTGCAGACGTGATTCGGATGGGTTGAGTCTTGAAAGCCAGGCGGTTGTGACATGTAGACTGTGTCGGATAGCTTACCGTGCAAGAAGGCGTTGGAGACCGTTCTTGAGCTGTGAAATTCTTGAACGAGTGGACGACTGGAGACGGCTATCAAGAATCTTCCAAATTTCGCTACAATGATCGGCGGAGAGGACGTAGGGAAGAATGGAGGGCGAGATTACTGAGTATAGGGCGGCTGCTAGATTCTGATCTAGCAAGATCCAGGTGAAGTGATCTGGATTAGTTGAAACAGGCGGACAGGAGATGGAGCCGGTCAAGAAGCCTTCAAAGCTATTTGCCCTGAAGAGTTTGATGACTTGGGACCTCCAGAGGGAGTGATTGTCGGCTGTTAAAGGTTGGGAAATGACATTTTTGATGTTACTCAGCAAGAATTTGAGAGAGGATGGGATTTGGGGAGAAGAGAAGGAGCCGTCGGCGGTGGAGGATTCCGCCTGGGAGGAAGAAGAATTGGCTGGAGTGGTCATTGTCGTGAGCAAGATGAGGGAGGAGAGATAGATACCTAGACTGCTGATACCATGTTGACAGAGTAGGTCTGGACGTGACTTTCGTCCAAGAACAGGGAACAAGATGAGAACCAGGATAAAGAGGAAAGATAGCTTTTCATTTCATTAACTGATGGTTACAAAGGAGTATATATAGACAAATAAAGTAAAGAAAGTACAGGCTACACTTGTGTTACAAAAATGGAATTAAGCTTAAGACAGCCGTGTAACTGTGTAGCTAACAAGATTTAGAAACTAATTAAAATCTTTTCAAATTTTACTAAATATAATGATTTTATTCAAACTTGTAAAATAAATGTAATTAAATTGAGGTGATAAATAAAATTTAATATATTTGCTTGATTTTTATACAATATTAAAACTAAAAAAAAACAACATTACCTTCGGGCTTTGCAATGGAGTTTCATAGGAGTAATTAATTTCACATTTTTATATGTATTGCTGTAAGGGTTATGGGTGTAAGTGAGTCAAGCCAACTATTGAGCCAGCTTGAAGTTAGCTTAATAAAGGACTCTCATGAGCTGAGCTCAATGAGTTAACGAGTTAAGCTTGAACCAGCCCTTAATCGACCTGTTAGCTTATGAGCTGATTCGTTTAAATATATTAATACAAATATACTTAAAATATTTAGGATTCAAAATTTTAATTACAAAGTTTTTGGAAGGTTTTAGAACTAGATATCACTTTCATGTATTAATAGATTTTTTAAAATCTTTCTTATAATTTTTCATTTTTTTCTATTATTTTACTTTAATAATTACTTATATCATAATCATTTTATCTCTTTTATAATAAATGAGGCAGGTCGTGAGCCGACCTAAATTCGTAGAATATAGCTTGAGCTCAAACTCAAACTTGCTTAATTAATAAAACCTAAGCCCAAACTAGCTTAAGCTCGACTTCACTCGTTTACACTTCAAATAAGAATACTTATAAATCATTTCTTCTAATCCTTACTGCATTCCTCCAGCCCAAGCTGTGGGCTAAACTCATCATAGGCCCATTTAGTTGAAATTTGTAGACTTTCTATTTCTAAGCCCACATATTTCTCGTGAAACTGTGTACCAATATTTGCGTAACCCAAACCACAATTAAATATTGGGCCTAACTGTATGAAACTAAAACTGGGATGGGTAGCAGCCCATGATCAAATCTACTTTGTACTAACTAAATTATTATCGAGAACAGCTAAGGACGGCTATCTAGTTTTAAATTTAAGCTCTAAAAGTGCCAAGAATTTTTGAGAACTCCACAATTGAATATCACTATCAAGTACTCATCAATGCCAAAAAAAAAACCCAAGAATAGTTTAGTGTATTTTACATTTGATTTTACTTCAATGCTTTTGAATTTGCTCTCAAATTAGCATAATTTTAAGATATCTTACCTAATATTAATTTTGATGTGAATTCAAAGACTTTGAAATTTATTCTAATACAAATCCCATCAAGACATTCTTATATGATTTTTTTCATATGTATTATTAGAATATGAGTGCGATGAATTGACTATTTTCAACTGAATACTACAAAGTAATTGACCAAATTTTTTTGTGACTTGAGCAAATTAAAAGTAAATTCACACACACATCACATACACAAGTACCGAGCCCAAGACCTCTTGTTTGATAACTAAAGCTTCCAATCAACAGATCAAGATGAGCTACATGATTTTAAAATCATTAAACCTATTCTGAGATGAGTACAATACATAAATAATTCAAATCACATTCCTCTCAAGACAAATTTAAAAACTTTAAAGCCTGAATATATATTTTAAATTATTATGATTAAACTCGCGTTTTGTTTGACGTAGCTTTCTTACTACTTTGTAAAGTTGGTTTTTAGTACAAAAATTTTTTGAACAAATAAATTTTCTATTAAAAATTTGCTTTAGAAAGCGATAAAAAAATTTATCCCAAATGAAATCTTATCCTACCTAACAAGAGGCATTTAACAACATTCAGCAATCATATGAAGCAATTACTAATCAGGAAGAGCAATATAGACCAAAGTCTTTTTTTATATCCACATTTACATGAAAAAACAAAAGTAAAAGCTGGTCATCATTGTCACACAGTTCCGCTATTCCACTTGGCGAAAAGAAAGTGCATCACTGAGTGTTGTTTCTGAGGTCAACATGGTTTTAAGTAGATTATAAACCTGCAACATAATTAAGGCAACCAAACAAAAGAAAATCAAACTAAAGAAATAATAATACGAGCATCGTAGAATTTAGCATAACCATGGAGAATTCTCACATGAGGCCTTTCTATAACGATTTCCCCATACTCAAGTTGATCAGCATGTAACCCCTGTCTTTTTAAAATCTGGATGAAATAGGGAAGGGAAATTGGAGTTACATGGAGGTCATCTGTCACCAGAAAATTTTGATCACTTCTAACAAATCCTTCATCTATGTATGTATCTGCCTTGTCTAGCATTGGATCAATTTCTATGAAGTGTGACTGTTGCACTCCATGCTTGCAACTAACAGTAATACAGGGTGAATTATTGTTATCCCAATAGCACTTCTGGCAACCATATAAAGAACTAGGGACTAATGGAGACGATTCTTCCATATATAACATTTGTTTGCGGTATCCAAAAAAGGGAGCAAGTTTTGGTGATATCAGCATGCTTTTGGCTTCCTCTGACTTGAAGTATTTAATTTTTAATTCATGAATGCTGTCATATAAGTTGTTCATGCATCCAAAGGAATCAGAATAACCAATGAGCTTCAACACGGAACCAAGTGGAAATGTGAGGAAGCTAAGTAACTGATCAACAAACTCTTTTCCTACCACTGCACACATCACCTTATTGCTAGTTCTATTCACGATTGGTATAATTAGCATTTCCTGTATTTCAAGCTCTGCATTGCCTTTACTTTTATTCATTATTATCTCCATCCAATTTTTACATTGAGGGCTGGTGCATCGAATGCACAAATCAGGGAAGAAAATATTTGTCAACGCTTCCTTTGTTCTTAGGGACTCCTTGAGCAAATTCAGGAGCTGAAAAAATCACTCAGCCAAGTGAAAAAGTTTATGTTGTGCGCAAAGAATAAAAAATAAACAAAAGAAAACATCAATTGAAACAATCAAATAATATTGGACAAAATTAAATATCATTGATTTGAGTATTATGGGTCTAAACATTCTTATCATTTTTATAAAGAAACAAAATTAGATGGCTAGTTAAAAACACTTTTGAAAAAAAAAAAAAAAACAAAGAGAGTACCTCTTCTCTTCCAAATTCCAATATCCACTCTTCCAAGAGATTTATATCTTTTACATCCAACTCTTTCAGTCGATCATAGAATGCTGACACGGAAGATTGTGTGACACGAAAATCATCGGTGATCATGAACTTCGTGTCATTCTTCTTAACAAATACTCCATCTGTTGTTTCATCATTTCTCCACGGCACAATTTCATTCATAAACTCGCCACAATAATAGCACCTTGTTTGCCAAACGGATGAGTAATAACATCTGGTGCGTGATATGCAGTCATCCATTTTACAGCAGTAGAACACTCTTGGGCCATAAACGTTGAGTTTTAACTTCTCACAATATTCTGCGGCTGCGCTGCAAGGGCTGAGCAGCATATTCTTGCAAGCCTTGGTGGAGAAGTGTTCGTCACTGAGCTGCTTGATGCTATCATAGAGGTTGTCAATGCATCCCAAGCCGGAGTTGTCAGAGAGGAGCTTTATTATGGTACCTAGAGGTAAAGTCAGGAAGCTAAAAAGTACATCAACAAAGTCGCTGCTAGTTTCTGCAAACACCACACGCTTCTTCGCATTGTCCACCCAAACCTTCAAAAACAATCTTTCCTCCTTGGCCATGGATCGTATGCGCAGAATGAGGGTTCCGCTTGGAAGAGAAGATATCCGCTTCTCTTTTATTAATTCTCCCATGGTGACCGTTGGAATTCCAAAATACGCTTGCAGATGTAAACCCGTAAAATCCAGCACTTAATTGGGAAGAGAGCAGAAGGCCGATCAACTTCCATCTGCGTAGACCCTCTGATCAGTTTCAAAGTTCACTGATTATATGCAGATTGTTTAACTTTAATGCAATCTTAATTCCCTTCGCACTTGCCTCATTTATTCTTTATTCAAAGCATATCAGAGAGCCAAAGGTCGGTTTAATTTTGAACAACGTTTGGCTATTTTAGATATATAATTACTTAGCCAAACTTGATGAAATTAGAATAGAACTATAGATGTACGGGAATAAAATTAAAAAAAATTAAAAATATATTATGAAATTTAAAAATAATTTACAATATGGTATACGAATAATATTAAATATTTATGAATATAAAATATAATATTGGTATATTTATAAATTATTTATACATAATCAATTATTCAATATGCATATACAACAACAACAACAACAACATCAAGCATTTATCCCACTACGTGGGGTCGGCTACATGAATCCTTTTTCTCCATTGTGTCCTATTAAAAGTCAAATTCTCGTTTAAATCTAACAAAGAAAGATCATTCCTAATATTTTCTAACCAAGTCTTTTTAGGATGTCATTATTGTTCGACAAGTTTTACGCTGGCTGTCGACTACCTAACGCAACCCTCCACTTTTCTCATCCAGGACTTGGGACCTGACAACGGCAGTGTAAAACTTGTATTATAAACTTATATTATTCTCTAAATGTACTCATTAAAAGTATGTTAGATAAAAAGTAAGAAGTGTGTTAATGTTTAATGCATGGGGTCCTCTTGTTGGACTTCCATCCGGCCACCAACTAACATGAGATTTCCGTCAGATCACAGATCATTGTCGAACTTCCATCCGATCCCTATTTGTCGCTAGATTTCAAACCGACTGTTACCTATTATAATTTGATCATCCTCAAATTCAAGGACGAACCAATCATTTGTAATATATTCAAACAATGTGGAATCATTTCAACTGGATATAACCCAGTGATTTTTCCCTTCAGGATTTTTCTCATGAATATATAAATTGTTGCAAGCTAGTATATTCACGGAGGTGAAGCAGGAATATATATATAGGACACTCGATTTATATAAGTTGTATAAAAAAAATTACTAAACATATGAAGCAGGTGAATCACATTGCTAGATTATTAAATATTTGAGCTATCTACAAAAATTATGTCGGGATCTCTTCCTGCTATAAGATGGCAAACTGTTCATCTTATTTTCATACATTCATAAAATTAGAGTTGATACGGATTTTACTAAGCGCTTTGCTAGGGTTTCTGCCTCCGTGGCGATTTCCGCCGTGCTGCTTTGCTCGTGCTTTCCGACTGCGCTTCTTCGTTCAGGGAAGTGTGTCTTCCTTTATTTTTGTGCTTTTCTTGTGCCTTCTGTTCTCAATGGCCGGTAAATGTTTAGTTGAGGGCGGCTTTATTGATGACAAACCTTCTTCTAAGTCCTTTTGGGATGCTCTTTACGGTAATGTCTCTTCTTTCCTGAACTTAAAATTTCTACTTATTGTGGGCTTCCCTCTTTATGGATTTCTGAGGCTGAAATTTTTTCGCTTGCTGCATCTTTACATTTCACGTTGGTTGGGAAATTTCCGACCAAATGGTCGTCCCTTGAAACTATTTGAATTTTTTTTTCAATCTTAAATTTAATGGTGATTTATCTTTTATGGTTCTTAATCTGAAGAATGGTTTGATAAAATTAGGGAATGATTTGGATTATTGTCATATCTTTGCGCATCATTCTTATTTCATTAACAATTGTTACATGCGTTTGATCAAAGTGGTCACCTTCATTTGATGTGGAAGTTGAATCACCTATTATTCCTATTTTGGTTTCTTTCCCGAATTTGAGACCTCATTTCTTCTCTCCGAGGATTCTTTATGGCCTCAATTCTATTTTTTGTCACCCACTTAAAATTGATCACGCTACCTTTCTGACAAGGTTTGGATTGGTTAAGATATTTTGGTGGTATGTCCAGTCGGTTATTTTGAAGAATATGCCTTTGTTTTGCTTGCATTGTAAATCTTTATGACATTCCAAATCAGAATGTATGCTCTTGCACCCGCAATTAGCTAAATCCCATTCGCAAAGGGATGTTCCTCCTACTGCTACTAGGGGTGTCAATATTGAACACAACACGAAAACCCAACCCGGATCTGAAGTCGGTCGGGTTCGGGTCTGAAAAATTGACCTATTTGAAAAATTGGGTTGGGTTCGGGTTGACCCGAAATGACCCAAAATAACACATAAACCCGTCTGCCCAGAATGACCTCGCCCCGCCTACCCCGGCTGCCCCGCGTCAGTTCGGCGTGAAGGTTTCGCGTCGCGCACTCGAGCGCGCCCCGCATCCCTTGTCAATTCACCATCGCGCGTCGCGCTTCCGCTACCACCGGGCGATTCCGCTTTAGTTGCTGTTTACGCAGGTCAGGTCAGGTTGACCCAAACTCGAAGCGGGTCGGGTTCGGCTCCAGAAAATCGACCTGTTTGCAAAATTGGGACTAGTCGACCTTAACCTAAATAGTGCCGGGTTAATTTTGGTTCGACCCGAACCCGACCCGTGACCCAAAATTGACACCCCTAACTACTACTGAGCCTGTTAATATTGTAAGTTCGCCTGGTGTGCCTAATGTGGAGGCTGTTGTGGAACCAGAGTCGAATCATTGTTTAGTCATATTGTGGAACCAAAGTCGAGGAATTTGTGGATATTCCTATTTTTATTATGTCTAATGCTGAGTTGAAGGCCAATCTGGCCAATTCTTTGAAGAATTCGGTTTTGGTCCAAAATGATTGGTTGATTATGGATGAGAAAAGTTCACCTTCAGTTGAGGTTGAGGATGTTCTTGGTGACAATGTGAAGAATGAGTTTATTCTTGTTGGTGAAAGCAAAAAACGTAAAAGTAAAGCTAAGAAAAAATAGCTTCTGGTCCCCTTCGTCGATTTTGCTTCCGTGGGTTTTTCTGATGCTATGAACGATGATGAGGCAGCTCCTTGCATATCACCCTGCTAGTCATCTTGTTGGCTACCTTGGTGGTATGCTTTCTGCTTGTTGATTACCTAGGCTGATGGTGATTTTTGCAAATTTCTATCTCTAATGGATGGACCTTGGTGGCTGTGGGGTCGTTGTGGGTGGCTGCCAATCTGAGTCTGCTTTTGGCATTTGGATTCTGATCTCTTTGTTACTTAAAAAAAAAAGACGACAAAATGCTGAAAAAGGCAAGCTGAAAATGAAATAAGATTATAGTATTTTATAATCAAAAGTAGTGAATGATAGAAAAAATATATATTATAGTATAAATATTAAACTATGATTGCTCAAGAAAAGTTAACCTAATTTAAAAAAAAAAAGCCATAAGATAAAATAAAATTAATAAAAAAAGCAATAGTAGATGAATTGCAAAGTAAAATATATATACTAAAATGCTTAATTGAGAAATGTAAATATAGTAAATACATTTGAGATAATAAACTTCAAACCAAGACTATTGGGATAATTAAGAGCATATCATATTCAATGTCATCAGATCGAACAGAAGTATCTATTACTATTAAAAAAAAGTTTGAATTGAAATTTGTATGAATATGTAGGGTTAATAATCTCTTAGAAAATATAACATGCTACTTAATAATATTTTTTAAATGTTTTGAATGTAAATATTTAATAATATGAAGCATTAATGTGTAACAGATGAGTAAGCAATTGAAGAAAACATCATATCAGCATTACAAACACAAGTAGGTAAATCACCTAGCAAGATTATTCAATGGCGAAGATCTCTATAGAAATCAGGTAAGAACGTTGTCTTCCTATAAGATGGTGAAATATTCTACGAGAAAACCTATAAATAAAATCAGTTGTGCAAATTTTCCAACAATAAATATGAAGTATAATCAAAGAAAATTATATGTCGAGGATAAATTATTTATATTTTTTAAATTTCCTTCAATTTGATTCTTTTTTATCAAATATTCATAACTTCATCATAACTTGTGACATAGTAGGGGCATTATAAACTCTTTGATCCACTTTTACATCAGACCTAATACATATTTGACAGTTTTCTAATAGCCCTCAATTGTTCAAAGATCTGAGGTGTATAGGTTTCAAGAAAGTATATGCATCATTGTCAATTCCTCTAAAAGATTTATATCTTCAATAATATTCATTCGATTCTTTGTTTCAGCATCAATATCAAAAATATATAAATCATATCACATTCTTCTCTAAGACAAATATAAAAACTTGAAAGCCTGATTGAAAATTTGATCTATATATATTTCAAATTATTATGATTAAAATCAGGCATCGCTTAAGGCAGCTTTCTTACCGCTCTCTAAAATAGATTTTTAATACAAAGATTTTTTAACTCAAAATTTTTCTATGAAAAATCTGCTTTAGAAAGCAATAAAACAATTGTCTCAAAGGAAGCCTTATCCTTCGGCATTTAACAACATTAAAAAATTTTAAAAAGTAACTAATGATCATGAAGAACTATAGACCGAAGTTTTTTTTTTCTTATATCCATGTTTACATGCAAAAACAAAAGTAAATGCATGTCATAATTGCCATACAATTCCACTATTCCACTTGCGGGAAGAAAGTGCATCACTGAGTGCTGTTTTGGAGATCAACATGGCTTCAAGTAGATTATAAACCTGCAACATAATTAATACAACAAAACAAAAGAAAATCAAACTAAAAAAAGCAATAATACTATAAGCAATTTAGAATTTAGCATAATCATGCAGAATTCTCACATGAGCCCTTTCTATAACCATTTCACCATGCTCAAGACGGTTAACATGTAACCCCTGCCCTTTTAAAATCTGAATGAAAAAGAGAAGGGACATTGGAGTAACATGGAGATC